GAAAATATATATATATATATATATATATATATATAGAATATATATATATATATATATATATATATATAATTTCTTCTTTTTTTTTTGCAATGTATATGACATATAATTAAAATTGACTAATAAAAAATGTCACGGATTTGCTTTAATACCTAAAAATCACAGTCTGTATTTACATAAGCATAATTGCAGTTATTAAACTGAGCAATAAAATAAGTGTTCCAGTTTCCTCAGTTGACCTAAAGTGGTTTGTTTTAAGGTGCATGAACTTTAGCGTGGCGCAGCTGAGCAGTGAGAGTGTGAGAGGACGTTATCAGGTCGAGGCAAGACAGCAAGTTAGAATTCACTGTCCACATCTATCTTCATTCCTTCGTATGATTCCTCTTTTTTCTAATCCTCTTTTCTCTCTCTTTTATCTTTGTCCTTTGTACCTCATGTTTCTTTCTCTCCGATAGTTTATCTGAATCTTTTCTAATCCTTTCTTTTCAAAGGATGGATATCTCCTGTTTTATTGAAAGAGATAAAGAGGGAGTGCTTGCTGAAGTACAACTTCTTTCTCTCGTGAAGGATCTGGTTTACTGTTTTGAAATTGGAAGTGTCTATTTTCCTCTTTTGCTTTCTCTTTCTGTGGCCTAGGGATTGTGGGAGTAATGCGGCGGCATTCAGCTTTTTGTAAATGCCATATATAAATATATATATATTATATATAAACAGAATATATAAGCTTGAATAATGCAGCTGGCTGTTTAACATCAGCTATGACTCACAGCAGGAGTTTATCAAGTTGCCTTTCCTGTTCCATATACTGTAGACTTGCTTTTGTCTAGTGTAGGTATGTGTAAATGTATAGATAGAGTGCACCTGATTTTTAGATAAATGCATGGGTGAATTTAAAGAAATGTCAAGAATATGTCTGGGTCATATTTCACCCCCAAATCAAAAGAAAGAAATACAATTTTTTATTTTCCATAAAGAAAATGGAACCCATTTACGACCATTAAGATTTTTTTTCACATTTCCCAAAATTCTCATTACCATTATGCAAAAACATAATAATAATAATAAATATATTACTGCAATGTGAAACAATGTGAAAATTATTATTATTATTATTATTATATTGTAAATTATATATCATGGTAGTATTCCTTTAATGTTGATGTAGATCCCCATTTATTTAGATTTATATATATATATATATATATATATATATATATATATATATATATATATATATATATATATATATATATTATATATA